CCATTCTGCCACTGATTTCACATTCTGTAATATGAACAGGGCTTCATAAAAGATCAAGTCTATGGTGTGATATGGAAACGATAACAATAGATGAATAAATGTATGTTTTTTTAAACTTCAAGATCGGATTACAAATTGTGACATGCATCAAACCCATCGCACTTGGTTGTACGAATGCTCTTGTTTTTCCTCCCCAAGTTGTTTTGTCAACAAAATGTGCTCTAATTTTGACTTACAGAAACATTTCACGAACCCCATTGGATGAACCTGCCAACCCACTGCGGGTTTACCCACCCCAGTTATAAAACCTCCGACCTAGACCGTCAACAAGCGCCATGCTGAACTACTCAATCACGATCACATGAGTTGTCAGTACAGACTCCTGCACTTCCAATCTGAGGACAAAATTCTGGACTCAGAAGTTCTAGGATGTTCGAGGCTTTCGAATATCCAAAGCTTCTGAAAGCTCTAGCCAAATGGTCTGGGACTTGTCTGAATGTCAGACTGAAGACTGTCAAAACAGCTTTTTGTTGGTGAATTATGGGAAGGAGACCACACATTAGAGAATAGAAAGGGGTTGCAAGGACTCTCACAGTGTCTCTCAAAGAACTTGGCATTGATATGACAATAAGACAGAATTTTTAACGTTTTGAAAGACATAATTTTGTCCAAAGTACAGATGCAGAAATGAAATTGGTATTGCACTTCCCAGGAGAGAAGCTTCAACATGAACAAATGTTCAGTTTTAGACAATTGTAAGGACCAGGCTTAGTTTTAGGTATCATTGTTTCTTTTGTGTGTTAAATGCATGACATGGTGAAGTGTTTTTATTTTTGATTGCTCGGACAGTTCTTTCTATTTACTGTGCAAAATGTTGACCTCAAAACAGGCATCCTGCCAGAGGACGGCAGGGCACATTGGACTGGCATGTGGGGTGAGTCACTGGAGAGCCCGCCATGAACAGGAGGCAGTGGCCACTGAGCAGATCTAAGCCAAGACTGGCCTGGGCTGGATTTCCAGCAGAGGTTGCCACAGTTTCACATCCCCATCCCCTCCCATTGCAGAAGTTGGAAGTACTGGGTCTCATCGTGGCGCAAGGGTGAACACACAGTTCAAAACACAATATACAGTCTAGCAAGCACATAGCGAAATTGACGGGATGTCGAAATCTTTTATCTATAAATTTTGCTTTGTACATGTATTGAGTACAAAGAAACAAATGTTTAAAAAAGTATGCCAAACCTGAAAATCTATTAGCTATGTACGTGCTAGACTGTTAACATGTCATGCTGAAATAGGAGCAGACTGTGTTGAGAGGTTTGAACTGGGTAGCCAACACAGTACTACACTCATGAATGTGAAGGGTGAATGGATAGTCAATAGACATGTGCAATAGACATGTGTGCTTAAGTGGGGTGTTTGGTGAAGTTTTTCAGTGGGTTGAATGAAATTCCAACTTTGAAACTCAGTTTCTTTTATGCAAGTGTATTTCTTGTAGTTATAGCTTGTTCACTTTCGTCTGACTGCGGTTAAAACAAGATGAAACGAAATAATTCTGTATAATCTTCTCAGATCTTGGCATATGGGTCTAAAAAAGGTCACTGCAAACTAAGGTTCCGACACTTTTCTTTGATGTTAATCTAAAGAGGGTAAATAAAAATGTAGCAATGCCCACCGAGCGCGTTTTGTTCTGCCGATTTTTGGCCCCCGCAGCGGGGGTGTTTCGTGGGACGCACTAACGCAAAGGTTGTTGTCTTCAACTCGCTCTCACGCCGCTTCTCGTGAATGGATATGAATGAAACTTGGCAGCCAATCAGAAAAGATGTCAATCTCGTAGTATGCAGTTTGACAACATTATACCCATCCTAGAAGCAGTCGAAAACGTTTGCGAAAGTGGTTGATGTGGTGCGCTTTGAAGATTTTTCGGAGCTGTGATTTGTCAAACTGACTGATACGTTGTACACCATTTTTCTTTATTCCCTTAAAATTTCAAGCTTGTGTTTAGCGGTTTTCGCGTAATCTTTAAAAATGTGGGAGTAACTAAGGGAAAAAGCGACATTGCCATTTGTGCGTACTGGGTGAATGCCCTGCTGCTGGGAAATTTCCACTGAGTGACGTCATCAGCCATCGGTCGCCTCGGGCGCTACAAACGAGGCCCCACTTATGTGAACCGGAAAGGAGGGGAAGGATACTTGAAAACTAAACGGGGGCCTTGATAACTTGCGTTTTTGTTGCATTTTAGTCACAATACAATAGATGTAGTCATTTTTATTTGCTTGATTGCATGACAGAAGAATAGAAACAGAAAAGCAAACATCTTGAGAAGTGGTATGGCATTGTGTTTGCGTTATGGATA